TTTCCAAGCGTACACGGATTAGGCTACTTGTATAATAGAACCACGCTGTTTTGTGTTGTTTCGTTGGAATCCTGATGTGCGGCAAAGTATAAACCGTACGGCAAAGTATAAACCGTACGGCAAAGTATAAATATGCAGCAATTAGAAGCTTTCTGTACTATAAACAGTACAAGGAAGCCAACTTTGTCGGGTGACTGTAGGAAAAAGTATTTTTAATTTTTATTTTTATTTTATTTGTTATAACGTAATAATTAATTCTTCATTCAGTATTGGCACGATTACCACGTATATTTTTGGATTCCCTGTTATTAACCGTTGATTCAATGTTCTGGTATACTTTCCAGTCACAACAGTTGTTATTCTCTCCCTCCCCCCCCCCCCAATTAATATTTTGGTTTTGATGGACAAAATTCCAGATTTGAAATATTCCCGTAAACGAGCAAACCTTTAACAGTTTACTCCATTCCCCTTAAAAATAATAGAGGCTTTGTTAATGAACAACTGCTTTATAATTGTTATTAGCCATATATCAACGATATGTCAAAAATATATATTAAGGTTTGGACGAACAGTATTTTTGTCCCCTGGGGAAAACAAAATGAAAAAAATAACCACGTATCATGTTCATTAAAACTTCAAGCGGTTATTTTCCGAAAGATTTTGAATTGTGAATCAACCAATTGATGAATTTTCATCCTCTCTCTTGTGAATGAATGATACAAGGGGAAAGAATTTCGAAGCCAGTATTTTAATTTTTTGGGTAAAGTTTATTCAAAGTTTTATTTTACCTTGGTAATGTCTAGCAGCCAACGCTAACAGTTTGAACTTGTTTCAGTGATATATAATTTTGTTTTACTAACAGCTATATTTTTTAATAAAAATAACATATTTAAAAGAGGCACTCGTCAAAATTATATTTTCGTCAAATTTTTGATACTTTGATAGAACCGTTGTTATGAGAAAAATTCTTTCTGTAACCTATTATGAAAATATTTACGTTATTATAAGTCGCCGACAAAATGTTGGTCATGTACATTATACAGGGTGATTTGTACTCAGTGTGACAAATTTTCTATCCTCTTCCGAACGAAATTAGATTTTTTACAGAAATTTAAGTATATTGAAAGGGAAATCATGCTAACTAAGTATATTTATAGAATGCAAAAAATCCTTTTATTTTGCTTTCAAAGATATAGAGCGTTTTATTTGTTGAAATAAAAAAATAAATAATAACGTGCTGAAAATATTGAAAATCTGTTTGAAGTTTATATGTCTGAGATAGTGTTCAGTGAACTCATACTCTTTTTACCTATCATTTAAATATTAATTTTCCTCCAACCTCTGTTTTTTTTGCAAATAGTCGCGATCACGACCGTCTGTAGTGGATGGTTTTTGTTCAAAATTAATAATGCCGTTACTTTTTTTCATACTGCAGCGAAAAACCCCTTTTTATTAAATAGCTATACGTTATGGGGAGAAATATTTCTTATATCCTTAAGGAAAAATGATCAGAAAAAAATGAAAAAAAATGAAAAAAAAATTATCAGGAAAAATTATTAGAGAAAAAAAAACATGATGAGAACCAAAATATTGTTTTGAACTTTACTTAAAAAGAAATATAAACCAGGGTGAACACACATGTTAGAGGTGATATTTACTTTTGCGTATCATGAAAAATTCAGAAATCATAGAAGTTAACATTGAAACTTGCTTCTTTCACCAAAACAAAAAATATATAATTTAATACTATATGAAGCATGCTTGGTATCCTAAACCGTCATCTACAGCTGAAAGTAATGACAAAGCTGAAAGATAAATATGTAAATAACAGTTAAAAGAATTTATTCATCCTAAGATTCTTAAGACTCTAAGAACATGTTAATCCTTCAACATCAACGTCACCTTTATGAGTGACAAAACAGCGTCAAACTGTGTCGTAGAAACCACATTTCATTGCCTTTGCAGACAGGAAATAAACAATTTTCCCGTTTACTCGCTAGCGAGAAGCAGGATGATAAGACGTTCTAGCAAAATCAAGTTGATCTCTGAAAGCAGCAGGTTGAGAGAAAATCTTATTTGTGAGGCGTCACAGCGTACGAGAGCGCGTGGAAAATGGGATTTCGGTCCTAAGACACTTTGCAGAAGTTATGTAAGTGGGTTCACAAAGTGGGGTTATTTATGATCTCTTCATTTTACGGTGTCATTTTGGCTTGTATAAGCTCAATGAATTCATCGTTCCAAATAAATACTTATGGGAAACCTTTAGGGATACGATATTCAGATTTTTTTTACATAACAAGTTACGATGAAACATGTAGGTTGACCTGCGGACTTTAAAGATAAAAAAAATCCTATTAGAAAGATTTTCTATTGAATCCTATTAATTTTCATGAAATTAAATTTATGTGATTTAAAAACATACCAAAACTGGTTATTTTTATAGTTAAAAGAATGTCTAAGAATAATATGCAAATTTTCCACAATATTTAGACACAAATCTTTAAGCGTGTATTGATAATGTTAGTTTTGAACAAAAAAAGGTATACAGGAAATAATTTACATACGCGGATTTCCGTTGATTGATCAATATAGCTATTTAATAAAAAGGGGTTTTTCGCTGCAGTATGAAAAAAAGTAACGGCATTATTAATTTTGAACAAAAACCATCCACTACAGACGGTCGTGATCGCGACTATTTGCAAAAAAAACAGAGGTTGGAGGAAAATTAATATTTAAATGATAGGTAAAAAGAGTATGAGTTCACTGAACACTATCTCAGACATATAAACTTCAAACAGATTTTCAATATTTTCAGCACGTTATTATTTATTTTTTTATTTCAACAAATAAAACGCTCTATATCTTTGAAAGCAAAATAAAAGGATTTTTTGCATTCTATAAATATACTTAGTTAGCATGATTTCCCTTTCAATATACTTAAATTTCTGTAAAAAATCTAATTTCGTTCGGAAGAGGATAGAAGTATAAGTTTTTAATATGTTCCACTTCGGCGTGCTAGTTTTAACAGCACAGGGAAAGTTCCAAAATGAGACCTATATATTAAATATAAAGGGAAATATTCCCAGTTTATTGATTGGAATATGAAACTTTAATTTACATTTTCACATTTATCTCGGGATTACAATTTTCCCAAATTAGGGACGCATTCATAGATAAAATAAAAATTACATATATATTCATATTTGAGTTTACAACCAAACGTATTTATCCAGTCAAATAGATAAAAAAAACTACTAAACATATTAACGATTAGTTAATTAATGAAAAAATATGAATATAATACTATTTAAGTTTTAAATTCCTAAATAAGGTCGATAAATATGACATTTCAAGCCTTTAAGACGTTTAAGCAGGAAAACAGAGCTTGAATGAAGTGAATTCGCTCACATTTTTTAATGAACAGAGACTTGGAGAAGCTTTGCCTCAAGGAATCTTGCCGAGTGCCGCATAACTTTAAACCAGAGCTTTTATAAGAATTACTCTGCAGTCCTATAGGCTCAACATTTTATAAATAACCACAAACTTTAGAGGTAGTAATGGTTTTTAGTGGTATTTATTGTAATTACCGTACTTACCATACCATAATCTATTATTTATGTATACTATTTGGCATCCACAGCTCGTAAAGTGATGAAAGATGAATAAGTAGCCAGGTTGTGGCTGGTATACTGTTTCGAGCCCAGCCCTTTGGTCCTGGGGTCTTGGGTTAGAATTCCAACACACAATAATGGCTTTTACTGCCCAAAGGCTTGGAGCCCTCAAGCTGTTTACTGAGGTACAAAGAAGAAAATATATAATTCTCTTAAGTCAGGAGATTTCTCCATATAAACCAAATCTTCCACTTACAGCTATTCAACCATTGTAATGATGCCATAACTAAGAAAATATTTCGTAAGGAAATTACAAACGTTGTCCTTCATTATATGTATGCAAATTAATAACCCTAATTTGACGTTAATTACAATTTAATTTAAAGACAAAATATTGTCCTTCATTGTTTAAACGTGGTTTTGGGTATTGCTTTAAATCACCAAATCATAGAAAAGACATGGTCTCCTGTAAAATCAGTGTTTTAGCAGATCAATTAAAAACACTTTAAGCATTTCGCTTTCAGACCATCTTCCAAATCGTTGTTTACCCATCTTCCAACAAGGTTTCCCTCATGAGACAAGACTTTGAGTTCTTCCAGTAAACAATGACTTTAGCTATATGGGGGGTATTTGTAGCCTACCCAATTTGGGGATTCCATCTATATAAAAAATATGTATATTAAGCAAGGGAACATTTTCTCTAGTAGGAAACATCCTCAAACCAAAATTATACGACGGTATTCTTTTTAGAGAAAAACCGTATCCGAAGTAATTACCAAAGACAGTCAATCTGGAACCCCAGAAGTAAGAAGTTAAGCATTTATTTTACTTATTAAGAAAACAATTATATCCTAGGCAAGGAGAACTCAGTTTGTATTCAACGTTTTAGTGGCTAGTTGTATATTTAATGAAGGTATTAAAACAAAATTGTAAGAAATAAGTCAAAACCACTCATCCCTGTGTCCTTAAACCAGGGATTAAGCCCGTTTCTCTTTCATAAAATTCAACGACACCTACCACTAGGCCGAACATACTCTAAAGAAGAAATCGTTCTGTCAAAAGACGCTCCGCAATTTAATATTACAGGCTATACTGCACGTTTGGTATTTAAATCTTTCAATAGGATCTTTATTTGCAAACTGATAGGAATCACTTTCAAATCTTCGTTAGTCATACGAGATTTATCAACTCTAATCTCTGATTCAGAAACCGAAGCATAATTTTGTTATTCTAAATATATTTCTTAACCACTGTACATCATTTTCTTTATATTCCATTCAAACGCACAAGCATCGATGTGATGTGTAGGCCAGCCAGCCGCTGTTTGCAGACGAGGGTAAACATCTTATCTTATCACCAACACGTCAGCACCGAGGAGCTTGTATATTATCAAGTTATACTTCGCAAACAGTCAGCTATAAAATTGATTCAGTCGTCATGGCGGTGTTCAGAAATACATTTTTGTGTTTATTTTTGGCCGTTGTAAGTATTAACTCCTAATAATTTGTGTTATGTTTGTTTTTTTTTAGTTTCAATATTTTTAGTTTCAATATGTTGAAATTTTAGTCAAGCAAAACTAACTAAATGGTCTTGTCTAGAAAGACATATTTTTGTGTGTTTTCTACGTGAAGCTTTTTATTTGAAACGGTTCAATTGCTGTCTCCTGTTCTCAGTGTCCTGAGAAATAGTCGATAGATGTTTTGTGTTTTTACATCGAAACCAGCTGTCCTTGGTAATTAAGCTGTAATAAACAACTTTGCTAAAACTTCGAAAACAACATACACTGGTTATCGAACTCCTTTATCCATTTTTATTTTAAAATACGTGACCAAAATACATCGCTGTTTTAATAAATTATGTAACAAGCAGTAATAAACAGTAATAAACACGTCTAATTGTTTGTTTGTCTATTTGTTGTTTAATAAAATTGGTCAAGTGTATCCAAACCTAATTTTTACTGTCCACATACAAAGTCCAATTGCCGAATTATGTGTTTGAACATGAAACACGATGAGATATATCTTTGACCCTTTAAATAACCCAAATTCATTGGTAATTTTGTATGTTTTCCAATGGTGCATTATTACAACTTATAATAAATACATCTGACCTAAAAGTAGATTCCAATTTACTATCATTATGTGTTTGATAAACTACTTTAGACATTTTCCATTACAATTAATTAGTAAAAGTTTTTACGACGTTTCGTGATCTGAAATCCATGCCCGGCCTCAATTTGGACAATATATAAAACAGAATGATTAATACATAGATCCAGACAATGTGGGAAAATCAACAAAGGAAACCACAGGTAATAGAAAACAGTCTACAATACAAGCGGCGAAACAAAAACATATCAGGGACAAAACAAGGTATTCGATTTAACTTTAGTAAAACTAAATTTTGTTTGGGTTACGTCCAGCATTTACAGTGAAATATCACGATGTGTCTGGTTTAGGAAGGTTTTCCTAAACCAAGGGCAGTTAATCTACACGGTATTTCAGAAGATGAATGTCAATCGAATGACCGCTAACCAACTGATTAATTACAAACCACAGTCAGTAACTAACCAATGGTCATAGAAGTATCCTTAGTTACCTTTGACGTCCCTCAGTAATTAAGGACACTTCGGTGTAACACTACAATTTCCTTAATTTGACATTTTTACCGATCTACCATGATTTAGATTTGATTAAAATTATTTACTTGTAGAAACCATATAAAATACAAAAATATAAAATGTTTAATACAGGAACATTACTAATTTTACTCTGCATTTTCAGGCGTCCCAGGGCTTCCCAGCCCCTGCACCTGAGTCAGGTCTTCCCTCTCTACTCTCCATATCCAGTGAGGAAGAACTAGCCCTACACTCCAAGAGATGGAGTAAGTGATTCCCAAATTTTTGGTGACTATTTTAATTACGTGTAAACTCTGAATAGTCTTTACCTAATAATATCATGTCACTGCAAAAATATCTGGTCTCGTTGCCAGATTACAATTTGGTGCCTTGAATGATTGAGGAGACATTTCGTAAAACCTACGTTTTCATTTTAATCGACGACGTGAAGAGTAAACATATGTTTTGGAAATCACATTTCATCTAGTCTCACCGGTCATTAGGCCCAATCATTGAGAAGAAAATATATTTTTATTTTAATCAAAAAGCGGTTAACAAGACAACAGTATTACGATACTTTTGCTAATACTCAAATGGACATCCCAGTTCATTCTTTTGAAAACAATACATCTAAAAGTATCCCATTGCCAACATCTTAAAAAAAAAACGTTCATATCGATTTGCGCTTGAAAGTTTACACAAACTTAAATGAGATTTCACAAAGATCGAGTAAATTTAAAGATATTATATTACTTAGCACAAACATTGTGCTCTATTTAACTGTTGCATAAATTTGTAAAATGAAATGTTTTAAAATTTGTTTTTTTTAACATTCAATATAGGTCCATGCTAATTTCATAAATATATATTTATACCTAGTTAATATGAAATGGGGCTAAATTCAAGAAAAACGGTGTATCAATATTATACCAACAACTGAGGTAAAACAAATGTGTTTATGAATTCACCATCATTGTTTACGTTAAACGTGTGACTCGGGCATTTGTTTTGTTCCCGTTTAGACACATGTCATAAATGATTAAAATATATATTTATTTATCATTGAACTTTTTTGGTGAGATCAGCTAAAACCTGTGTAAGGTGACTTTCATCCTTGTAAGCTCGTTGTTTGCATTTTGTTATTTATTTACTATTTATTATTTACAAATTTTAAAACAATTCATACCTAATAAACCTATTCGTATTGCTGCAAGAAAATTAACGTTTTAATTGTAAATTATGCCTGATTTAATAAGTTACTAAAGATTTTAAAGTATGGTAACAAGCCTTGTTACCATACTAGTATTGTATGTATATTGTTGTTAATACTAGTATCTAAAAAAAACTAAACATGATTTATGAAAACTTTTTTTAAATATAAAATGTATAAACGTGGAAATAGTTCGAGAGGTCAAAAACAAATGTATACAGATTCCGAATGTGTCAACAAATAGAGAAACGTCAAAGGCCACGTTGTTTGAAAAAACCTTTTTCGGAATTATTACCAAAACAAATAGCAGTTGTACGCAACGTATTTTATTTTTAAAATATTAAATATTTTTTTCACAATATGTAATGCAGATAGCCTAGATCTAAAGAGAACTTCACAAATACTCGGTTTCCAAAAACATTTATACACTCACTTTGCCAACGAACCCGGTAATATATTCCAAAAAAAATATACGCATCCAGTGTTATCAAACACACGTTTTAGCCTCCATTAACAATGTGCAATAAATGTTTTAAAGATGTAAGAGAAAGATAAATATTTACATAAAATACAGTTGAAATGAAGTTGCCAACAGTAATTTTTTCTCTGTTCTACCTTAATATTTAAAACATTACTAATATGAAATATTACCCCGACTACATTTGTCCTTTTATTCAAATAACATACTATTTTGTTGTGGGGCAAATTTGGTTTTAAACTATTGTCTATGTCATATTTCAGTTGAGTCTCTTAAAACCCTGTAAGTACTCATGTAACAGTAGAAATATTAATTTAATATTAAAAGATAACCATCAATAAAACTCAATAATGTGAGTGGGTTATGGGATCATATTTTGATATGGTGCTGTAATACGAATGAAATGGTGCTCGTGACTGGCTTTAATAATGAAAAGTGGAAAGCGAAAGCAATTACGCCAAGACCCGCATTTGGTAGAAAGAAAGGTAGAAATAGAGAAGAGAATACCATTGAGGACACGTGGTGCCTTCTTTCAGCGAGTCTTATTAAAATAGTATAACAACTAAAATTATTATGCTGCAGAAGAACTTGATCTTTCTGTTTTCTGCATTATTATTTTTTTACCTATTGTAGTGAACAATGTAAGTTTCTGTCCAAAATATAACTAAGAAATACAGCTAAATATTTGTGTTACTAAGGTTAAAGACCTTTTTATTCGGTAGAATTTCAATTAAATGTCAAATTTAAGTCGATTCTTTTTTGAAACTAGTTTTTCAGAAAAACTTTAAAACTGCTTTACATTGAATCAAACAGACCAATGCATAAGGAAATACAAAAGTACATAAAGAATATGGTATCACACACTCAAAAGTTGGTGTATGTTTTTTTATGTCATTTACAGGTCAATATGTATCTTAAATCTATGACTAACACGTTTGACGATTATGTATGGAACAGTGTCAACCCATATTTTATCATGTTGTTAGGGGTTAACTAAGTACTCTGCGTTAGGTAGATGAGTTCAATCCCCAGCAAATACTCAACAAAACTTTAACTTTAGTCTCCTTTTTGTACTTTTGGTCGTAATCAGTCATTACTTAAAATCTGACTAACGCACTCACTGACTAAAAGAATGTCTAAACAGTTTAAAATAACACACGAGTTCTCATGAATGCGTATCGTAAATGTTTACAGCAAAGAGAACTGCATAATACATAAACCTCCGCTATTTGGAAATCAACGATCTGTGAAGGAATGTTCAAAATGACTAATGTTTGGCGGCGTAGTCAACAATCAATAAACGCTTCATGTCTATCAGAGACTCGTCTGTATTCTGCCACTATTACTCAGCCGTCTAGCTCGTGAATGTTATGTATGGAGATTACTTAGCTTAGTATAAAGAGCAGAGCTTTACACATAAGTTATCCAAAACATTGCAAGATTTTCTTCAAATCCCGCTAGTCAAAAATAAAAAGCTATCTGGTAATATGTGTCGCGTTGAACTAAAGCCTACCTAAAGGTCTACAGAGAAAATTATAGGTCTATCAAATAATAGAGAGATTTGTTGAGTTTGTTTATCTCCTTACTCTCAAAGTATCGTTTAAGTACAGACTTTCAAAACTGGGATACTTCACTTAACGCACTTAACTACCAAGATCAAACATGATGACACTTCAAGCAAACCTTTACCCTTCAACATTCAAACCGTTCTATCTTTGATTGACTCGTTAGCATTGCAATTTGTCATTGAAGTAATTAATTAATTATTGCAATATTCGTCCGTGATTTCTAAATTGGTGAATCGTGCATTCTGACGACGGTATAGTGAACATAATTGTTCTATGTTCTTTTATTCTCAAAAAGAGAACTAACAAAATATTTCATTCTATTTCTTATAACACAAAGCCATGAGATGACAATAAATTATAGTAGTCTAAGATGACGTTAATGCTCATAGATGGTTTACCTAACTTAATAGCTTTTTATCAGACCAATATGTAATGATATGATAAGATACGATTCAAAACAATAAGGCACAATGATACAATAAAATGTGTTTCAATTCCATGCAATACATTTCAATATAGTATAATAATATGAAATAAATAAATCATTTATTCATAATAATAAACATGGGATCGAAACTCATTCTTATGAATTATATACTTTGTAAAAGCACTATAAAAACTTATAATTGGATAGATGGTGACATTTTACAAATTGTATAGTGTTGTTAAGGTCTGTAAGGTCGTCGTAAAGATCATCTGCATTTCTTTATAATATACTAACAGAGTAACCGTCCTTAGTACGGGGTTGGAATATAAGTATAAAATGCTTATTGCAGTTATACTCAAGCTTTGAGTTTGCAATAAGGGAGGACACAGTTTGATAAAATTTGCTTTTTTAAATTTACAGTATTCTATAGTATTACACATCTACCATAGCCATAATGTTCTACCACTTCAACTAAACAATAGAGAAAAATATAAATTACTGTATCAACAATTCGCAAAATATAACAAATTATTCATGAAATGAAAAACATAAACATAACTGTAAACAATCCTACTTTGACAGTTCTCATTGCGAATCACAGTTTTTTGTTGCTGCTTAGTTCAAATTAGCTGTTTTCATAAATGCAAAAAAATATAGTTGCTGCACCCTGTTGGTAAATCTTATAACTTTTTAATGCTTTTCCATATCATAGAACCAACTTTTTTAGTTGAAACAGCTGACTAAATTCTTTAATTCCCTTTAAATATGAATACTCATAAGGTTAACATGGGGAATTACAGAGCCACTGGGGCGGAGCCCGAAAGGATTTTTGAGATAAGAATATGCCTATATGTTAATCGGGAATGTAAGTTATCATCATGCCAAATTTCAGCCCAATCCGTCCAGTGGTTTATGCGTGATTGAACTTCAAACACACAAACAAACAAACAAACAAACACACAAACTTTCACATTTACAATATTAGTAAGATTCCTCGATTGTTTACTCCTTAATTAACTATAAGAACTTATTGTGCTGTTATTCTAAGAAAACTTATACTTTACACCTACGGAGATTTCTATAAGAACTATTAAGATGTATCTAAAGAGCCTGCTGGATATCATGATACCATGACTAAAATAAAAAAAAAACATTTTCTGTTGTGTATAGTAAACTACAAAGCAACACGTTAACAACGATGAGTTTGTTTACAAGAAAAGTTTTAATAGCCATTGTTTGGGATTTACTTTTCGAATAAACAAGAGTTGTAGTAACTAATGACTATTTGTTGTTTCAAGGTTTGCAGCTCACTCTTAGCAAGAATATAAATTAGTAAAAAAACTAGAAAAGTTTAAAGAGTTATGTTGTTTTAGAACAAGGCAGATTACAACTTTCTACTTATATTTCATTTTTGTGTGTAAGCTTATCATTTTAAACTGTATAAATGTTCTAATTTGCGGTAATTAAATTAGAATATTTACCATATATGACGATTCATAAATTAATATATTTACATGACATATTTATATTAGCTTAATAAGAATTAACGTTTTTAATTTCAAAATCGAATGACTTTTTAATGA